CTCCTTGTGTATCCCTGTGCCACCAGCGCATCTCCATATGTGCACCACCATACCAACAAGTGTCTGTCTGTGTGCATTTGTAGTTGTCCACAGTGTTTTGATTGCGCAGAGCCCCTACTTAAGCCACAATCCTTCACCTGTGCCCCGATCTAGCCGCCAGAGACTCTGCACAGTACTGTTAGTACTTTAGGCAATTGCAGTTGTATAGAGGTCCCCTCACATTTCCTTCTGCAGCTGAGGTCTCCGGAGGAAGGATAAGCTAGATGACACTGATTCTGCTGTTGTTTCAATGGCAGTCACGTGACCGGTTGAAAAGGGCGCTATTTTGAAACAGCGAAAACGTTACCAGTCAGGGAATAAAACCATTGAAGGCATTGAATCCGAATGAAAGCCAGGCAACTAAGATTTTCAAAAAGACATCAACTTTGGCATCCCATACATTTCTCTTGTGATGTAAGTCTTTTACGATAGTTGTGCTGAATGGTTTAGGCCCCTTTCTAACGGTCTGATCAGGAATGGATCTGTGTATGGATCCCCTCCTGATCAGAGCAGTACAGAGCGGATGTGAAATCAGTGTCCATCCATTTTTTTCCTCCATGAGATGGAAGAAAAAGAAGTGAAATTACTGCTGATTGATCTATGGGCAATCATAAGTAGACGGACATGTGTCCATTTTCATCACATTACTCCCAATCTGACACGTTCAGGTCCGGCAAATCATATCTCTGATCCTTTTGTTTTTGCTGGACCTGGCCAGGGTCGGGGATAACCGGGTGTAAATGAAAGCCCATCTATGTACACATGGCTGCCCATAGACTAACATTGGGCATCTGGTTGGGTCCGCTTTATAAACTGACAGAGACTGCCCATGTGAAAGGGGCCTTACATGGTCTTCCGTAGGATTTGCATGCAATCAAAGAAAATTACTCAGTGTCAGGAAGACATCTGTAATGTAATGTATTGTCCTTTCCATAGAGCTCACAAATTTCATTTCTGGTCTGTTAGTCTCGGCAGAGCTAGAGGGATACATTACTCAACATAAATAAAGTTGAGAACACCCGTTATACATAACTGACTGCAAGGCCAAGTAACCCTCACTTCCCACCTAAATAACATACTGAACACAGTAATTTCAACAAATATGTAAAGTAATAACATTTTATTGGAAGGTTGAATGGCCACAGCGATATAAACATTTTAACATAAATAGCAGAACATACTATGTAGCCTGAACAAAATGCTTCGGTCCCTGACGAGTGCCAAAAAAACACCATTCACCGCTTACGGGGAGTGTACCATGACCCATTGTTTACTGTACCAGCCACCGGCCGCCCATATCCTGGCCTGAGTGGATACGCCCACCAACAGTTGCCCAAGTTCTTACTGGCTACCAAGCTATAGAGCCCAGTAGCCCCACCATTGGCACTTCCCTACTACTCCGCCCCTTTGCACTTTGCGGAGAGCCAGTTCTTCGTCGTCGATGTATGGCACCGCCAGGGACCCGCCCAATGGACGACCAACCTAGAAGAAAATTAAATCAGACATATTTCCCAAAACACAAACTCCACCTTAAACGCAGAACAGAAATACCCATTACCCTAACTAGAAAAATTGTATCCCTCCTCCCCCAGTTCCACACTTGCGGAAACTAACTCTTATGAAACATAAAAAACAAAAACAACAAGCTAAAATACTAACGGGGAGGGTGGGTGGGACTGATTTCTTTTCTCTCCCACCTAAAATGGTTCCCTACCTCACACTGTACAGTAAGATGGCCCCCTAACTCCACCCCCCAAGCTAAGCCCACCTATCACTATGCTAGCTGTCCCTCCCTCCCACCTTTTCAAACCCCAACCGACAAAACACCCTTCCTTCCAATACTTACCTAACTCCTCCTTGTTCAGGTCTGACCTGCCTCAGTCATGTCCCTCCCTCCGCCTATTGCTCCACAGGGAACTTTCTGGAAGGACAGGATATAAAGCAGTGGTTCTCAACATGTGTAACCTCAGTACCCACATTTGTCCTCGGTCATTAGGTCGTGACCCAAGTCACACTGCAATGGAACGCACGGCATGAGGGTACCAGGCATTTCGGTGCCGGCTTACAAACTGTGGGCGTGAGGTGTGTTTGGGGTACCATTCAAGTGAATGGCAACGCAACACACCTCCCACACCAGAATGCATGATAGGTGCAATTGCATATTACAGTGTGTTAACACAATGCGATTACCGTACTGTACTAGTGTGAACGGGTCCTCAAAAACACACATACACAACCACAGACAAATTCTCACACACTCACAGACATTCTCACACACACACATTCTCACACACACACACACACACTCACACACATACACACTCCACTTCTTTTTAAGGTCCACCCAGTCTCCCTACCTTGCAAGAACTGGAGTCTCTCCAGGCCAGGCACCTCTACAGGTGTACTCCACAGGGCATTGTAAGCAATGCAGGTATGGATGGAGCTCCCTTGTGACCATGCCCCCAGCCCACTCCACCTCAAGCTGACAGTCGAGCAGCATGTTTTGAATGGCTGCTTGGTGCAAGAGCTGACAGTACTGCACTAGGGGGAGGCTGAAGAGCCTCTCACCTAAAATAGTGGAAGGCTTGCAGCGACCCACTGAACACAGGTACAAATGTCCAAAGACCTGTAGCACACCTTACCGGAATTCCCATAGGCAAAAAATGGGTGCTCGCAGTGACTGAAAGTTTGTTATGAAGAGATGTCACCAGCACACCAGCATGACAAACACGTCAATATTCAATGAATCTTCGTTTTTATTTTTCAGAAGTCACTCAAAGTAGGATCAAACGTTTTAGGGGCCGCGCAGGGTCCCCTTCATCAGGCTTAAAGTGAACTATAAGCCTGATGAAGGGGACCCTGCGCGGCCCCGAAAGCGCTTGATTCTACTTTGAGTGACTTCTGAAAAATAAAAACGAAGATTCACTGAATACAGGGTCGCCACCCACTTTTGGGTCACATCCCACCAGTTGAGAACCAAGGATATAGAGGATCTAGTAGAGCCAACAATCTTGCTCCGGGGTTGGAAACATGGCAGACATAGCTGGAGGTATCAGAATCGCATGTATAGTCTAACAGAGAAAATAGATTACATCACACCCTAAATCAACAATTGACATTATGACATAACATTATACATTGAGGTGTGACAATGCCTCCTGGTGCTCACCACTTTATGCCAGAACGGTAGACCTCCTGTTTAGGTGGTAAGCCTCATATGTCACTTCTTCAAGAAGTTATGAAAGGCAAAGTTTGGCTATCTAAGATGTCAGTTGTGGAGGATATTGTGATGGCAGAAGTTGGTGAAAGATGTTTCAGTCTGAGTAGCCTGAGTGTTCATTGTGTAGTCAATTATGGTTAGAGAACTTTGGTTGGAGAGATGTTTTGGGAAATAAATTTGTAGTTTATGAGGCACTGTTGTGGAAATTTTATTAGGATGGGTTTTTAGTATATTATATATGTGAATATTGTCATCATGTCTCTCAGTGTCCGGTTTGCTGGGCTATGCTCTATGAAGCGTGGCCAGGATTAATCAGCACTGAGTGTAAACCATTAGAGGGGATATCTTCCTGTGGATGGGGAGAAGCGACCGTTGTGCGCAGAGATCTCCGCCGGCGAATGGTCCATGTGCTATGCGCTGGACTGTTGTCCGGGGCAGATTAATGTGCATTGCGGAGCTGTGTCCTCTTCGCAAGTGTATGGAAGTGATTTGTTCGCTTGGCGTGGATGCATTGGCTTTGAGAACACAGTATCATTTGGATACATATCTGCCTTTATGAAGGAACATAAGCTCGTGTCTTTTTGGTGCGTCTGATCAACGCACTGTAAATCATATGGCGTTGTCCTTGCAGATAAACTCACATTCACAGGAATTGTACTATAATCCTATTAGGCATTGCTCATTGAGCAAAGCTGGATAGAATTCGCACCAATGGTAACGGCGGAAATATATGCGCTGGTCTGGTCAGAGCGGCGTCCACTATCAGTGATTCCTTTGTGTAGTGTTTTGGCGAGAACTCCGTTGCACATGGTTTAACTAGTGTGCATGGCGTTCTCATGCACTAGCAGCTGAGAGCTGTGCACATTGCTACTGCTCATGCACGAGCATATACTCCCCTTTGTATTGTTTATTCAAATGTATACATGTGTCTCATTGGCTGACTCTGTGTTATGTTAATGTATTGAGGAATTGATTGGCTGTTGGGGCCAGCACTTCCTCCCTTTGTGTGCTATAAATAAACGGATCTCAATCCACTAGGGAGGACTATATACCGAGGATCCAACGTGACAACAGTGAGTGTCTGTTTTTACTTGGTACAGCCGAGCGCGCTCGATGATACTATACAAAAAGAGCTGAGAACTGTGCTTTTTAGCGCAGCGGATTTCTATGCGCAGGAGCGTATATTAATTTCCAGAACAGCACTTGTCTGGAAAAGAGATGTTATGGTCCAGATGGTAGCTCTGAGGTGTCCGTTCCAGAACAAATTACTATGGGAGAGCTTGGGTTGTTGAGTAGATCCTTCCCTTGTTTTCTCTACAGACTTGCTGCACAAGTATAGTTGGAAAATATGAGATGTAGATGGTCCAGCATAAGGTTATGGAAGAAGTTTAAATGGACAGATCATTTTGGTCTTGGATTACAGAAGACATTTTATATATGTAACAAGGAATGCTAAATTCAACATACTACTCAATAAAATAAACTTGCTGAATGATAATTGACAATGTGTAATGGATACAAATCCCCCTCAGTATCAGAGAACAAGAGCAGATAGTTTATTAGCTTAGCTGGAAGAAAAGCATTGCATGATGAGTTTCTTTGCACCCTGTTTCACATCTTGGTTCCTTAGACTGTAAATAAAAGCATTCAGCATAGGACTAATAATGGTGTAAGCCAAGCTAACAATGCGGTCATACTGGGAGGAGTAACTCGATGAAGGACGGATGTAAATGAAACTTACAGTGCCATAGAACAAGCAAATGACCATGAGATGAGAGGAACAGGAAGAAAAGACTTTGCTTCGACTATTGACGTTCTTCATTTTCGCTATAGCCAAAGCAATAAGCATATAGGAAATGAGTATCAAAAGGAAAGGAAGAACATTAAGCACAGAACCTTCTGTGTACATTAGGAGCTCAGCTACCGTTGTACTTGAGCTGGACAGCTTGATGAGTGATGTCACATCACAGAAAAAGTGGTGGATTAGTCTGTCATCGCAGTATTTTAATTGTGACAGAATATAAGTGTGCAATAATGATTGCAAAGATGAGGCCACCCAGCAAGTAATGCTCAGCATGACCATAACCTTACCATTCATTAACGATATGTAGCGTAAAGGGATACAAACAGCCAAATATCGATCAAAGGCCATGACTGACAAAAGAAAATTCTCATTGGTGCCCAGAAACACAAAGAAATACACCTGCAGGAAACAGCCAAGGAAGGAAATGGAGGTTCCTCTATTAAGAATGCAGGACAGTAACTTGGGAACCGTCACTGTAGAGAAAGAGATGTCCACCACTGACAGGTTCCCCAAGAAAAAGTACATAGGTATGTGCAACTGTGGAGAAAGTTTAATAGAACTCAGTAAAAGTACATTTGCAGTCCATGTGAGTTTATATATGACCAGAATGGTGGAGAAGAAAGCAGTATGGTTGTATTGAAGGTCTACAAAGGCCAGAAGAATAAAACCGGAGGTTAGATTTACTGTCTCCATCTCATAGATTCTAAAATATTATCATCCAGAATCAATTCTCTGTGAAATGTATCCACATTTCACTCCTGTTGCAGTACGGTGTCTTTGTACCTGATGCAGTGACAATAAAGTGAACTTGTGGCCCAGAAACATGAAGTAAGCTTCAAGTCAATCCTAACGGAAGACACTTCCAAGCTCTGGTATCCAGCAGAGTGTCTGCGTACACCTGACTCTCAAGTTGCTCTGTAAGGTGACCAGCGTTCAGCTTCTATGGTAAATTCTTACTTTCTTGATATTAATTTTTACGATGTCTTATTCTTTTTATGATGTCTTTTTAACATCTTTTTACGATGTCTTATTCTTTTAAGCTTGAACTCTAGGAAGCGAAACACACAATTGAAACACGTACTATATGTGTTAAATATGTAGGTGCTGTTTTCACAGTATACATTGGCATAATAGCTATAGCAATCCAAATAACTGCAATGGGGCCTGGGGTTGGAAGGAAGCCCCACTAGGGTGGTTATTGAGGTAATTTAAACATAAGAAAAATGTAGGGATCAGCACTAAACAGAGACACCACCCCTAAATACAATCGTAAATACCAAAAAGAAATAAACGGGGCTTTGTAGGTGACTCATAAACAATGCAAGGAAATGCAGTTAGACATAATGTCACATGACTCATTCTTGTATAGTAAAATTCATATTTAATAACATAATTCCATGATTAGCAAAAAGTGGCATATAAAAAACATACCACACATCTAAAAGCAGCATTGTTTATGAGTCACCTACAAAGCCCCGTTTATTTCTTTTTGGTATTTGTAATTTAAACATAATAAAACTGTGACAACACATACTGTATCTATGAGTGTATTTTTAAAGGTTGCAGAGGTTGGTGCTAATATTGACCATGTACCCCCTGTGACATTCCATTTGCAGAAGAGGTTATGTTATGTCAGATGTGCAGAAGGGGACTTCTCGGTGATTGCCCCTAGTCACAGATCTCTCTTTGCAGGCTGTGAAGGAGAATTTGTTTACCTGTCTTAGCACAGTAAAGCCTTCTTGGAACAAAAAATATTCACATATCTCATTCTATAGCAAATCCCAAAAATAAGATAAGGATCTATAATATTAGGTTATACTGCCTGGTTCTGGCTGATGGAACAGAAAGCAATGATTTGCATGGCTCTGCTGACTGTCCTGAAATGAGAAATACTCCTTTTATTTTTGGCATGTGTGATGGAATGGGACCTGTGAATACCAAGGCTTTAAAGGAGGCTTTTCTGTGCTATGCACTTATTCTGGTTTTTTTTTTTTATTCCTTTGGTCCTTCCTCACCATAACCTGTATAGTTATACTGTTTTTTTAACATCTTAGTGATGTAGATTTATTGGTCATCCCAGCCAGCACCGAAACTAGCCCTGTATGCCTGTCTTCCTCAGGCTTTAAAAATCCCAGAGTGTCAAAGCTGGAAGCTGTTTGTAGTTCTGCAATTAAAGCCCTCACAGTTTAATTCAGTTTGTATGAGGGCTATACTGTACAATCACTATGTTCAGAAGTACTAACAATGATCTTATGCTGCAACATATTGCGATGGTCATCATTATTACTACTTTTGTTGTTAGTTCTTTTTCTGACTATTCACTACCCTTTCCAGCATTTGCTTGCTGTGGTAGAAGTTGGTGGGGGTGGGGGTGGGGTTGGTTGCTAGGATATATACTGAGGCCCTGAGATCTGAGATGCTAAAAACAATTGGCGAGATGCAAAGGACAAAGCAATTAGATGGAAACAAATTGTCATTTTAGACTAGCTGACTGAGGCTCTGTACACATGTGATCATCCAATAGTTCTGTGAGTGTTCCCTGCTGTTTTAACCTTGTTTTCTGCCTAATAAATCTATTATACTATGAGATGATTGTTATACTCTTTCCTGAGCCTTGCACATTTATATGCTGTTACAAGAACATGCTTATTTGTTGGTGGGATCTCCTTTTACACCAAGTTCAAGACCATAGATGGAAGCAAGTTTGATTCCTTGGAGAGGAGATCGTGAAGTGACTTTTGACTTTCCTTAAAACAGGAGGTCATTTTAATTTGGTGACCTCCAGTCCAGTAGGTGGTGGGTTTGCACCTGGAGTACGGAGTGAAAGACATCAGTGAATTCATTGATTATTCAAGTTTGCAAATATACGGACAATACGAGATACGGACTGTTTCATTTCTTATTTTGTATGATTTACAGACTTGCTTTTTCTACTTTGTTTGCATGTTCTTGATGTGTGCGTTGCCTGTTATTATTATATTTTTTTGCAGTTTGATTTGTAATACGGATTTGTATTTCTGTCCTGCCAGTTGCCAGACTGCAGATCCATGTTGGTGACCCTACCTTTCTTTACTGCAACTAAATAATACAGCTTGGTCACCTCCCGTCTGTGATTAGATGAGAGCTCTGTCCCTCCCTCGTCCAGTCCAAGTGCATACCCCACAACTGTCCCTCATTTTAAAGGACTGTCCCACTATTGGAACGTTGTCCCTCTCTGTCTTCCCTCTTTTTTGGTCTGATGTGAAAGTCAAATTAAAGTTCTTTCTTACAAAAATGATTTTGAAAATCTAAGCAATATATGACCAGCTTTAGCCTTGCAGAGCATTTCACATATACAGTAATATATACATTTAAGCTAAATTCTAGTATTAGTAATATATTGTAGATGATAATGAATAAGTGGACTGATTAGTCCTGCATTTATATTTTACATTTATATATTGCACAATTTATAGTGTATATTTGTGTAAATAATATGTGTATATTAATCATTAGCAATACAGTATATTACCAAACTATTATAGTTATAGATATTATCCTGACTTATGGTGGAAACACCTGATAGACATATAATACATATGTAATAAGTTGTATGAATAAGCAACATTTAGCTTTATAGGTTTCTGGTAACAAGAGTCCATGTAGGACATTTAGGTTTGTAGGCCAAGGTACCTAGAGTTGGTGTAGGACATTTAGGTTTGTAATTCAAGGTAACTAGAATCCTTGTAGGACATTGAGGCTTTGTAGGTTGAGGTAACTAGAGTTCATGTAGAGAATTTAGGATTTGTAGGTTGAGGTAGCTAGAGTTCATGTAGGGTATTAAGGGTTTGTAGGTTGGGGTTGCTAGAGTGCATGTAGGGTATTTAGGCTTTGTCAATCAAGGTTAGAAGAGTTCAATGACAATAGGTCATAAACACATTTTCTGACCTTGGCTAAATGAACTAACTAACTGTCCTCTAAACCTGATATAAGGGAGTCTTATGAAGACAAGACCCATCTAATGTTCTTGGCACTTGCTAATATGAGTAAAGGGTGACATCATTATCTAGTTTTTGGAGATAATTGAAGGTATCACATATGGTTCTATTGTTTAAATCTTTATAAATCCTTGTACAAGCACATATTCTTTGAACCCTCCTGAATTGCTGCTTTTTCCTGGCCAGCTGAATAAATCTACTTCTTGAAGGACTGCCTGGTGCTAATCCTCCCTTCATTATACTTCAGTTTGGACAATACAATCCTGTGGTAAGTGATTGCGCCTGTTCAACAGACCCAGCAGAGCATAATTTCCCACCTCAACCTAACCACTGAACCATCACATTCTCAAACAATTCATCCCCCACACAGCTACCTCCCTTTTAGATTGTAAGCCCTCCGGGGCAGGGCAGGGGCGGGGCAGGGATAGATCCTTACCATCTTGTCTTGATTTGTAGTTAAAATCTCTCCTGATTCCCCCAGTTTTTTAGTTTTATCCCTGTGTCACTTACCAGGCCATGAAGGAATAAAGAAATCTACCAGACAAAGGCAGCTCTCTATATATAGTGTATGCCTTCCTTTTATTCTGGGAACTGGGTGTCACCTTCGAATATTGCTTCACCTAATTAATTGTGTTTTAAGAATTCTCTGGTGTGTTTGATTCGGTGTTTACCGAGGAGGATTGTAGTAAATACTAAAAATAATAATAATATATTCTACCTGTGATATGATTTTCATTGTCTGATGCAAAATTACTAGGAATCTGTTCACCATCCTTTCTCTATTGTTACCCATTAATATGGGTAAAAGATGTTAGCAACCGCCCCAACCCTCAATCTGGAACACATAAAAACAAACAAGAATATACAGTATATAGCTAGATCAATAGATAGATAGATAGATAGATAGATAGATAGACCAATAGATCTATATACTTGAATAGCATATACAGTGTCAAAATCACTAACATTAAGTAAAGTCTAATTACTACATACAGGTAGTCCTCAGCCAGAGAGAGAGCAAGGAGAGCCACTGAAGAACCT